AACAATATTGAATTTGAGTTTTATGTGCCATTATTAGCCCCATTTTAAAGAGGGAGAATACGGGTAATAAAAGTGAGGTAGTCTGCCCAATATCTAATACAACTAGTGAGAGCAAATACCAGGATTCAAGCCCAGCAATTCTGACTCCAGAACCTATACTAAAATCACTTAAGTAATAATGTCTCACTAAAGGAATCAAATACTGAGGCTTGATTATTGTTGGGATTCTCCTCTTTTATATTCTAAGACAGGGTTTTGTGAATTATGTGTATGTTGTTTGATACAAAAATGACCATCATCTCTGAAGAGCTGCAGGATATGTATTTGTTCCCACTGGCAGGAATATTTGCAGTACCATAAGACTCAATTTTCCTCAGAGGATGCACTTAATCAAATTAATTAAACATATTTTGGAATTCTGGATGAAAATTGACATAAAATGTCAATTTTGGCTTGTTCTACATTGTCCAAATGTAATGCAAAATTAAGAAATAGTTATTATAGTCAGATATACATGTATGGACATTGCTCACCATTCAAATACTTTGAATTTTTTCCCTCTTTTTAGCAGAATTAAATAAAATGCTTCCAAACTTGCAATAAAACAGGTTTGCTTTATTTGAATTTTAGTGTGGGAATTCTTCAAATGAGTACTATCAGCAAAAGATTCTTGACTGCCCTTGTAAAAGTGTTCCTCTGTGATGTGGATTTACATTTTTGAACAATGTATGCTATTTTTAAGTTGAAAGCTAGCATTAGAACAAATATCCAAATAAGTAAGTGATTTTCCTTTTCTGCCATTGCATAAATTGTAACTGCCCTTTTAAACTCCATGCAGTTAAGGCTATAGTGCCAGAAATGTAATTCACAAATATTTCCTTTAAAAATCAGTTATAGCCACATACTATATTCTATTCATTTGTGTGTATCCTTATTTTAGGAATGAGTATGGAATGAGACAATTTTGCTTTGAAAACCATAGTATGAAATAATAACCATTTTTTATTGTTATTCCTTTTTAAACCATAACTTATTAACCGCTTGAAAATACTTTTTATTTACATTTTAGCCAACAGGTCTCTCTTATCAAAGGGGAGAAAAACAAGGGCATTATTTGTGCTCCTGAATAATGCTAGCTACCATCCCTCTGGCTGGACTGTAGACAGTCACACACTGGCAACTCCAGGAAATAGAAGAGTATTTGTATTTCTTGTTTTTATTTGTTTTCTAGGTTATTACTGCTATTTGCCACTTTCTCTCAGATATTTGAGAGCAGAAATGAAAGGCCAAGGATGAAGATCCAGCTGCTGTAACTGTCTCCACTGTAATGAAATTCTGTTAGCCCAGTATTTGGTTCTCATTCTCTCTCAAACATATCTAACAAATATTTACCAATTAGGTGATTAAAATCAATATATGATGGAACAGAATAAAGAGTCTAGCATATACCCACACATATATGGACAACTAATTTTTGACAAAGGTGCAAAGGTAATTCAGTAGAGAAAGATAGTCTTTTCAACAAATAAAGATAGAACAATTAGATATCCATATGTAAAAAAAAATTTCAATTTATATCATGTAACACATACAGAAATAGATCAGATCTAAAGTTCTGAAAGTACAAAACTTCTAAACAAAACTTCTAAAAAAAGTAGAAGAATATCTTTGTGACCTTGGGCTAGGCAAAGATTTCCTAGAAATGATACCAAAAGCATGGTACATAAAAGAAAAAAAAAGATGATAAATTGGACTTCATCAAAATCACAAACTTCTGCTCTCTGAAAAACCATGAAAGGCACTATTAAGAGGATGAAAAGAAAATCCACGGATTGGGAGAAAATATTCACAGAGCTTATATCTGATAAAACACTTGTATCCAGAGTATATAAAGAATTCTCAAAACTCAATAGTAAGACAACAACCTAATAGAAAAATGGGCAAAATATGAATAGACACTTCACCAAAGAAGATATGTGGATGGTAAATCAGTACACAAAAAGATGTTCAACATCATTAGTCATTAGGAAAATGAAAAGTAAAACCATAATGAGATACTACTACATACCTATTAAAATGGCTAAATTTAAAAACAGTGACCACACCTAGTATTGACACTGCTGGTGAGAATACAAAATTGTACAACCACTTTGGAAAACACCTAATTTCTTAAAAAGTTAAATATACACACCAACAAATGAAAACACATGTTCATACAAAGACATATACAAATGAACATAGCAGCTTTATTCACAGTAGCCCAAAACTCGAAACACAAATGCCTATCAACAAATTGCGGTATTTCCAAGTAATGGATAACTACTCAGTAACAAAACAGGAAAATGACTCTCCATGCACACAACAACATGGATGAATCTCAAAATAATTATGCTAAGTGAAAGAAGACAAGTAAAAAGAGGGGTATATTACATGATTCCATTTATATAACATCCTAGAAAATACAAACTAATCTATAGAAACAGAGAGCAGACCTTTATTTTTTATAATTTTTACTTATTAGATTTTATTTGCTAATAAAAACATATGTTTTTAAAAAATACGGATCCCTAATTCATTTCTTACTCCAAAATACTAATTCCTGATGGTACAAAATTTAACATGTATATGAAACCATTAAAGTGCTATAAAAATGTAAGATCATTCATTAAAAAAAAGTCCATCATTTTAAATGAAAATAAGTTGTAGAACAATATTTATGTCGTAACTCTATTGATTTAAATCATTTTCACAGTATATGTTTTGATTTAAATTATGAAATGAAAAGATATGCACCTAGTAAGTTTTATTCACCATTCTATTGCTATCCTCTACCACATGTGCTTGGCACATGGCAAGCACAGGAATGTATTAGCTGAATGACTAAATAAATGAACTCATTCATTGTTGATGGGACTGTAAATTGTGATAACTTTTCTGGAGAGAAGTTTGACAATATGTATCAAAGAATAAAATGAGCACACAATTTATTCCAGCCCTCTCATTTCTAGGAATTCATCCTGTGAGTAATTTTCACAAGTGCATACAGTACATATCCAGGGCTAATTTTCTTATAACAGGAAAATATATGTATGTTAGTGGAGAGAGAGTGTGGGAAATAGGTGCCCTATAACAGGAATCTGGTTAAATAAATTAAGGCAAATATTTCCATGGAATATGTATCTATTTTAAAATAAGATGTTGATTACTTACCATGAAAATATAGCCACAATTGATAAATTAAATGAGCAGATTACAAAACATAATATGATGTCACATAGATAAAACAGTGTATATAAATAGGCAGGTGTGTATATGTACAAAGAAATTTCTGGAAGGAAATGCATCAAAATGCTAACAATGGCTATAGTTTGGTTGTTAAGATTGTGTATTTTTACTATCATTGGAATTTTCTATATTGTATTTTTTCTTTAAAATGCTTATATACTTTGACAATCAGAAATAAACAATAAAAGTAGATCCATTTACAAAATAGAAGACAAGTGCTTCCTAATTTTTTATAAAATATATGATGAAACGACAAAGCACAAATCCTACAATAAAAAAGTAACATAAAAGTTAATCTAACATTTTCCTCATTTAAAATAAAATAATTCATATTTTAATTTACTACTTGTATTCTATGAGCAGGTTTAGATAGTGAATGTGATTAATTAGGCTATTTTCTACATTAGTATGTCAAATCACCTCCGTGGATTTTTCTGCTTCCATAGAAATATCAAGATATCTTCCAATTAAGTCTTTAAAAGACTATATTCTGTGAATTTTTATTCAAATACAGGTAGGTAATTCTTGTCATTCATAAAAATGGGCTAAATATGTTCCTTACCTTTTAATGAAAGGTAAACACTGGTCTTTTTGGATGTACCAAGGGAGTTGTTCTGTAGCAGAAAAGAATCCTGTAAATAAAAATAACAGATACCTGTTTTTAAATTTCATTTTCAAAAGTTTATTCACATATTACTGGACTTGTAAATCACACTTTTAATATGGCTAGAATTTTACAATGTTAGAAGGAAATTGGTGGAAGATGACATTGTGAAGTATATATTGACAGAGGATGCACGTTCATCAGCACAAATTCCCCTCCCATTCTGCTGTTTGTGGAATTGAAAACTGCTGCACAAAAGTATAGAGCAAACCTTCTGCTTTTAAATAATACTACCTAACATTTGAATACCCTTTTATTTTATCTACAAGGTTTGAAGGGCTAACTGGCAAGTCAGCAGCAAGATTGAGGTACATTATATGCCAGCTTAAAGAGAGAAATATAGTAAAAATGGTGCAACTGACTCACGGCAACATGGGCTCGAAAACCTTGTAGATGGATATAAAGCAGGCTTGCCAAACATCACAGACAGCACTTATTAAAACTGCTACGTGGAATGCAACATGCCTGCTTTCTAGCCCCTCCCTCCTTTGCCAATAAACGACTCTCCTTTTTTTCCAGTGTAAAAATACATGCTCATAGAATATTTAGATAAAATAGATTAAAAAAAATCATCCATAATCACACTACCCAATGATGCCACTGGGAGTACTTTCATCCAATTTTTTAAAAACAGATTTTTGTCAAGAGGCCCCTGATAAACCAAACGGGAATTTAGGATGAGCGGATGGGAGAAAGATACTCCTCTTCCCTCGTTAGGAACTATGGCTAGTATTTTTACCTCATATCTAAGCTTTTTTTTTTTTTTGAATTATAAAACTATAAAGGTAGAATTTAAAGGGGAAAAATCGTCTTCCAGGGGTGTGTGCCTCAGCTACCAAGGAGCGTCTGGGAAGATGGGCGGAGCCTGGAAGGCGGGCGGTGCGTTTGGTCATTCATTGGGCTTAGGGACTGTCAATCAAACTTGCCCAGCAAATGAGGTGCGAGCTAAAGGCACACTGGGAACTAAACTAACAGGAGGTCTGACTGCAAGGGGAGGGGGCTGCCGATCTAAACCGTGAAGAGAACTTGGGGTCTCACACTGCGCTATTTGGCTGCGGCACGCCTCTGTCCACCGCGGCGGCAGCCGGGAGAGGCCTTGCCACCGCCGCTCTCGCGCAGGCCTCCACTGCCGCTGTCATCTCCGCGCGATCGCCGCAGCCCAGTCCCGCCCCACGCTACTGCTGCCTTCGCCGCTGCCACCTTCTCAGCCCGGGCCGCTGCCGCCACCCAAGCATCCGTGAGTCATTTTCTGCCCATCTCTGGGCGCGCGGTCTCAGCAGTAGTCACCACCTTTAGAGGTTTACTGGCTTGCAAAATGGCAGAAGCGGATCTTAACATGGTCTCGGGACCTGCCGCCCAGGGGGTTGCTGAAGAGATGCTGGCTAGCTCGTCTAGCGATTCTGGGGAAGAATCTGACAGCAGTAGCTCGAGCAGAAGCACTAGTTACAGCAGCAGTGGCAGCAGCAGTAGCCGCAGCCGCTTATATAGAAAGAAGAGGGTACCTGGGCCTTCCAGAAGGGCGCGGCGGGCTCCGTCGGGTAAAAAGTTCGTGGACCGGCTGCCTCAGTCAGTTAGAAATCGTGTGCAGGCGCTCAGAAATATTCAAGAAGAATGTGACAAGGTAGACGCTCTGTTCTTAAAGGCAGTTCACGATCTCGAACGAAAATATGCTGAACTCAATAAGCCTCTATATGATCGGCGATTTCAAATCATCAATGCAGAATATGAACCTACAGAAGAAGAATGTGAATGGAATTCAGAGGATGAGGTGTTCAGCAGTGATGAGGAGGTGCAGGAAGACAGCCCTAGTGAAATGCCTGCCTTAGAAGGTGAGGAAGAAGACGACCCTAAAGAAAAACTTGAGGTAAAGGCTGAAGAAAATGAGGTACCTAACGAAATTCCTGAGGCAAAGGCTGAAGAAAAAGCAGAGTCTAAAGATTTGCTGGAGGCAAAGCCTGAAGTAAAAGAAGATGCTAAAGAAGTCCCCCAGGCAAAGGCAGAAGATAAAGGACAGCCTAAGGCAGTAGAGGCTAAGGCAAGGGCTGGAGTAAAAGAGGCTTCTAAAAGAGTTCCTGAGGTCAGGCCTAAAGAAAGAGTGAATCTTAAAAGAGCTCGTAAGGGAAAGCCTAAAAAAGAAGATCCTAAAGGCATTCCTGACTACTGGCTGACTGTTTTAAAGAATGTTGACAAGCTTGGGCCCATGATTCAGAAGTATGATGAGCCTATTCTGAAGTTTTTGTCAGATGTTAGCCTGAAGTTCTCAAAACCTGGCCAGCCTATAAGTTACACATTTGAATTTTATTTTCTACCCAACCCATACTTCAGAGATGAGATGCTGACCAAGACATATATAATAAAGTCAAAACCAGATCACGATGATCCCTTCTTCTCTTGGGGATGGGAAATCCAAGACTGCAAAGGCTGTAAGATAGATTGGAGAAGAGGAAAGGATGTTACCATGACAACAACTCAGATTCGCACAACTGCTACTGGAGAAATTAAAATCCAGCCAAGAGTGGTTCCTAATGCATCATTTTTCAATTTCTTTAGCCCTCCTGAGATTCCCCAAATCGGAAAGCTGGAACCACGAGAAGATGCTATCCTTGACAAGGACTTTGAAATTGGTCAAATTTTACATGATAACGTCATCCTGAAATCAATCTATTACTATACAGGAGAAGTCAACGGTACCTATGATGATGGCAAAGATTATAGAAACAGAAAATGTCGAAAATAAAAAAGAGGCTGCCTGAAAGAATATTCAAGAATCTCAAAACTTCAAGCAGAAGTGAAGCAGGTTTATATAGCGTTGGAAAAAAACAAACAAACAAAAAAACCTGCCTCATAACCTCAACACTAGTATTCCTTACAGTCTGGTGTTTTCATATTTTCTTGGTAGTCTAAAAAATTGTCTTAAGTATCAATTTATTCTATCTCGCCTGTTGTAGTGTAATATTCTTCAAAATATGTAAACTGCTGTCAATTATCTAAAGCATGTTAGTTTGGTGCTACAGAGTTTTGATTTTTGTGAAGTCTTTTTGTCATGTTCCTACCAGAATATAGCTGTGAAAACTGTCAGAATTGTTAACTGAGACAAATATTTGAAAAAAAAGTTCCTGAAGTATCAATGCAAGTGTTTTTTTTTTTCTTTTTCCAGCCCAGAAAACTAAGGGTTTAAATCTGCTTGCACTAGCTGTGCCTTCATTACTTTGCTGTAGGAATACAGTGCTTATACCAACTAGAACAGTGTATTGTAAAATTTAACTACTTGAAAAAAGATTAGCATACATTTAAGAATGTCCATCAAAACCATATATGATACAACTGTGTGCTTATTTATGTGACATACTGGTCTATAAATTTAATCATAATGAAGTTATTGTTTACCACCGAGGTGTTAATATGACCCAGTATTTAAAAAAATGTTTCCTCATCTTATACTGTGTAATTGTAAACTAAAGTTACTAACCATATTTTCTTTGTATATGTTCTACTTTGCCTTTCATTGAAAATGATCACTTTACATCATTTGATTTTTTTCTTGTTCTTCTATTACAACCTAAAATAAATAAATGTCAAATAAAGTGTATCATGCTATGAGAATCTAGCATTTTCTCCTAATTATAAAAAATATGCCTATTATAGAAAAAGTAGAAAATACTGAGGAAAAGGGAAATTTTAAAAAATGTAACTACTATTAACATTCTGATATATTTCCCAGAACTTAGCTCTTCTTTGGAGGATACACATTCAAGTGATTGGAGAGAAATGGGATGGGGGAGGAAGAGAAGAGGAGGGGAGGGAGGGGGAAGGAAAGGGGAAAAGGGTGGGAGAAGAGAAAGTGGGGAGGGAGAGGGAAGAAGGAGGGAGGGAGGGTGAGGAGAAGGAAAGGGGAGGATGGTGGAAGGAGAAAAGGGTGGGAGGGAGGAGGAAGGGAAAGTAGAGGAGGGAAGGAAGGGAGAGGGCTGGAGAGTGGGGATGGGGAAGAAGAGGAAGGGCAGGGGAGGAGTGCCTCACCCTGAAAAGACATCTATATAAGCTGTTGCTTTCATTTCCATGAGCAGAGTGGGTAAATGACCTAGGCCCACCCTCCACCCTGACTTGGGAGGAGGTCACACTCTCAAATGTGGCTTATTTTTTCTTACAGGTGACATCATGCTCTTACCTCTTCTGCACCATGCAGCTGGTTACAGGGTAATTAGATCCTGAGATTTTGGTTTGAAATTAGCGTGAAGTGGAGGCCCCTTAAACTCACCAGAGAGCTTTGCACTGGGCACAAAGGAACAAGCACAACACATAATAAAGTGGCATCTTATTTGACATTCGCCATTTCCCTGTCCACATATATTTTCCTTCAAGACCTTACAGGAAAGAGCTGTGGCAGGAGGAAGACAGTATTTGGGAATTTATGGGTCTCTAGGCATAAAATTACCTAATAGTCTTCCCAAATCTCACCATATATAGTTTAGTATCTTGCTTTTATCCCTTCTTAACAACAGTTCCTCCTCCATGTCTATGAATATAAAAACATTACAACCCATGACATACTATATTTAACCAATCACCTATGTTTGGATATTTAGGTTGTTATAATTTATACAAAATCAGGAAGCAAATTATTGCTTTTAGCAATACCACTGCAATTTTGAGAGTGCCTTTGTTTTATTTCTGAGATTTTTGCATCCATCAAAAATGGGTATGGCAGCAGATTTACTTATATACCAGGGCCAAAACGAAGACTATAATAAATATTGTGTACCTGGCTCACTGCTGCAGAGGTTCCCAAATCGGATATATACTGTGCTTGCCAGACATCGCAGACAGCAGAGATCTTAAAACTTCTACATGGAATTCAACATCCTTGTTGCACCTTAGAACACTTACCAAAGTATTTAGCCCCTTCCAGATCTGCATTTTTCAATATTAAAGGCATTCATGTCATTATAGAATATTTGCAAAATAGAAGCAGAAATGCAGAAAATAAAACTCATTCAGAAGCACACTACAGGAAGATATGTCCTGTACGTAGATGGGTGTATTTCCTCCCAGTCTGTCTCTTGATTAGGTTTTATCACAAGTTCTTTGCTTAAATCAAAAGGTGAATTCAAGTTGGGTGGGTGTAAGAAGCTAACTGGAAAGACATCTTATTGGTATTTGTACCTTTTCAGTTTAAGCCTGTGGGGTGGGCAGGTGCCAAGGATATTTGAATCAGTAAAGCTAGAATTCCGGAAAAGCAAGCGGTCTGTGGTAGGTGCTTCAACCACCTTGCTAGTGGAAGTTGGAGAGAGCCCGGAAACCCGTTGCGCTTGCATATTTGTTGGGCTGCAGTTTTGTCCATCACACTTGCTCAGCCAATGAATGATGTCAGAAGGAGGAGCCGACTGGGAAAAAAGCTCAGGAGCAGGGGGCAGGGGCGTGAGAAAAGCTTTCACGGGATCTTTTTCCGCGCCTTCTTTCTAGTGCGCTGTGTTCTTTTGCTGTGATTCGAAGCTGAGGCCAGCTGCCCCCTTCTCTGTCCTCAACCTGACAGAGGAGATCGTCACCTCCTCCCCCTCCTCCTCTGCTGCAGTCGTCGCCACCTGATCCTTTGTGAGTTCTTTCCTATCCTGAATTGGGCACTGAGCGTTCACGGTAGTCACTCTAAACGTTTGCTCTTTTCCTTTAATATGGCAGATTCAGTAATGAGGGGCTTTCCTAAGTAGCATCCGGGCTGCTGAAGAGGCAGTGGAAGAAACTGTCGTGCTAAGTAAAGAAAGTGACAACACAGATAGTCAAATGATGCAAATGCCCCATTCTGTCGAGGTCTAGCCGTACCAGTGTCCTTGCCCTCAAAAAGCTTCAGGGGCCACGTGATAAGATACAAGCCAGATTTGAAAAGGAATTGCAGCCTTTTCAAAAGTATAAACCCTCACTTGATGAGATGTTTGTGCCCACCAGCACACCTATTAGGACCACCTGCGGTATAATAACTTCAATACACTTAGGCATTATTTCAAATTTTGTTTTGTGTTTTTTGTAGAGTATATTTTTTAAATTAAAAAATGAAATATTTAAGTATTAAAACACATGGCATTTAGAAGTATACTTTTCTTCAAGAGTTTTTGCACTATGCTTCACTGAAAGTTCTCTTTATTGTTATTTCATCTTCTTCTGATTATGAAATATGTACATTATAGCAAATTTGGAAAATATACTGAAAAGTATAAATATTATTTTACACAATTCTGCATTCAAAGATAACCATGGTTTACCTGAAATAGAAATATCTATATGTATCTTTATTAACATGATAACTACTGTTCTATCCCTTTCGCTTTTCATTTAGTGTATTTTGGAACCCTTTCTATATTAGTGCATGTAAACTTCATTTTTTTAAACATATATTAAAAGGATATACCATAATTTTTTCATCAGTTTCTTATGATGGGCATTTAGGTTAGGAGCATCTTTTTCTAATTGGTTAGTAATTATAAGCACTGTCTTTGAATTAAGGACAAATATTGCATATTTTGAAACATTTTCCCTTTTGATTTTGTTCAGTTTATTTTTCCCTGCCAAAGAGTTTTAATGTAACTATAGTCACATTTATCTTTTTTTCCTCCATTATGGATTTTGGCTATTTGGCTTAGAAAGACCTTTCCACACCAAGATTATTTTTATTAATTATTCATGTTTTCTTGCAGTAGTCTTATAGTTTCATTTAAAGCTTTAATCTTTCTGGAATAACTTTGATGTAAAGATTGAGGTAGCTATACCACTTTTCTTTTTCTCAACACAATGAACCAGTTGTTTCAACACCATTTACTGAATATTGAATATCCAATGTAATTAATTGCTGCCTTTATTATATAATTCATTCTCTTATGTGTTTGAACCTATTTCTGGACTGTTCTGTTCAGAAGTGTTATTCTTGTGCCAGTATAAATCTTTTAAAATATAAATTTCTCATATACATTTTATTATCTGGTAAGAATACTTCCTTATAAAACTTTTAAAGATTTTTTTTGGATATTTTCATATATTTACTTTTCCAGATCAACTGCAGTATCACTTTTTTTCAGGCTCCCTCCCCAAAGTGTATGGATATTTTGATTGGAGTTTGTTTGAATTATAGATTCATTTACAGAGAATCAGGAATTTCATATTATTTAGTCTTCTTATCCAAGGACAAGATGTGTCTTTCTATTTAATCAAATCTTGTTTATATCCTTCAGTAGAATTTTAAAGTTTACCTGTTAAAATAAGTTTTCAAAAATATTCAGAACCTGTTCCTCAGTCTCTTCTTCCTTTGTTTGTCTTTTGCTTATGCTGTTTTGCTTATTTTTAAATTGTCTATGCTTAGGCATTATCCCTTTTTTTCAGCTTTGAATGGGGGCAACTGTTTGCTGAAGTGTGATGTGTGAAGAGGTCAGAGGAAATGAGCTTGAGCACCTCAGGAACTTCAGTTCAGGTTTGTCTCATATCCTTCTCCCTCCAAATTATTATATCTTCTGTTGGAGGCCATTTCTCTCCTCAGTTTATGCTGTTCTCTCCTTCCTCAGCCCTCATCATCACTGGCTTTGGAATGAGTGGTAGGTCAGCGTGACTCAATGAAATATCTTGAGTTAGAGGTGTTCTGTGGTGACCTTCTAGTTGATTTCTGCTCAACTGACTGGACAGCATCTGTAGAGTTACTTGTTGCTTGTGTCTCTCTTCATATTGAAGCAGTCTCCAGAGGCTGTCAGAAAATGAAGAGGATAAGCTGGTATAATTTCTCCTTTACTTCACCTCCCTTTTTGTTTTGTGTTATGGAGCTGTTTTCCTAAGGGATCATTTCTTGCTGCTTTGACTGTCTGCCACAGGCCTAAATGAAACGTTCAGGGCTTGAACACTTAAGGGAATCTGCCTACTGCCTGAGACCTGTGAAAGCAAGCATTGATTCAGAGTCCTGCATTTTTTTGTTTCAAATTTCGTTGTAACTGGAAGATATTCTTTCCAGTGTGTGGCTTGGAATTGTGGCCATTTCTTTGATTTGAAGATCTTTTCTGCCTTTATTTTTTATTCAGACGATTCTGATGCATAGGCAGGATTGAGAACCACAGAGCAACGTAGAGGGAAATCTCCAAGAGGAGAGTATGTAGTGTTCAGTTCATTAACAACTCTCCTAACTGAATAATGTTCCTGAAATACCGGTTTGGTGAATTTGGCTTTGGCCAAATGGGTAAATTAACCCAGCTTCATCTGTTGGTAAAAGCATCCTTAATCAACATTTTTAAAACCGTTTTATTTTGAGATAATTAAAGACTCACAGAAAGTTGCAAAAATAGAACAGAAAGGTCTTGTGTACCCTTCACCCAGTTGCTCCTAGTGGTAACACCTTACATGACTGTAATACAATACCCCAACCAGGACATTAACTTTGGTACAATCTACAGACCCCATTCAGATTTTGCCAGATTTTACATGCATTCCTGTGTGTGTGTGCATGTTTGTATTTCTATGCAGTTTTACCACATGTATGGATTCATGAAACTACCA